ACCAATAATTTAAAGGTAAATGCTCCAAATATACATTTTTACTTCAAGAAGTTAAAGGTTACGGAGTACCAAGCAAACTTTAAAGTTTCATATCCATTGGATTATAAAAATGAAGTTCTCAATCCCAGTATCTGGCCTGAAGGTTCAATGGTTCGTCGTTTTGACTTCAAGTATAAGAATTGTACTAACCGCAGTTAACAACAAAACCAGAAATAATTGTTACAAATCCGGCTTAGGCAAACTAGATACTACAAATAATTTTAAAGGCAATACCAATCAACTAAAAATCGTATGTATTAACTCTGAATCTATTGTAAACAAAATAAATTGTATCCAAATATTAGTTTAAACTGAAAGTCTGGATTTACTATGTATATCCGAATCATGTGTAATGACAATAATATAAATTCGTTTTATCTTCCTAATGCTCTCTTGTAATGATTCGTAATACTTTTTTGATTATTTTTTAGGTTATTAGGATAAAGATAATTTATTAGGAAATTCCACGACGAACAAATTATATCTTGTATCAACACAAGCCAAAAAGAATCGGTGTATTATTGTATTATCAACGTCAACATCAGAATAAACAAAAAAGTATTTTCATCTATGGTTCCATCAATACGATTTTCACCATTACTTTGCGTTGTGCGATGTATTTGCAACCTTTTGTAAATCAAAAATAATTACACCATTTAGAATGTCAACAAAAGCCGGCCCTGCATGTAATTATTTTTTCAGTGCAATATTTCATATTTTTATTGAAAGTCAACATAAATGCTCAATTTTATTTAAGAATTTATATTGTGTAATATGCCCACTGACTATTAAAAAATAAGGTGCTTTCCTGTCATTTTCACTCGTTGGCGGCTTGCCCACGCAAGATCAAAGGAGTGTCGCTTCTCTGCGTTCGTAGTTCTCTGGCACAGATGCAACGGTCACGAATAACTGTCGTGAATTGCAGCTCGCAAACACATTTCCGAGGCCGTTAATCAGCCGATTGCCGAAGCACATCGGCTAAGATCGCCGTTTGCCTAATAAATGCATTTTACCGCTGCCAGTGTTTCGGTTGTTATCGACGCGGCTTCACTGGAGCAGCAAATACGTAAAAAGATTGCTTCACTGGAGCACCAAATACGTAAAAAAATTATACGGTTTCACTAGAGGAGTAAATACGTAAAAAAAATAATATTAATCATCGTTGTTGGTGAATTATTATTAACAGTTTATGTTTAATATGATAATATGGCAGATTTGAAATAAAACTATATTAATTATTCTTTAATAATTAAGATTTGCTATGGTTGTTTGGTAGTTCTGCAGCTCAGCAGCACATAAAGAAAAGCCGCCACTGTAAAACATGCTGTTTATAAAAACGATATATTTTTTGACTTGTTAATGAGGCACAAAAGTTAATGAAAATCAAATAATATTAATATTAATCACTGTTTACACGAAAAGTTATTTTCTCCTTCTGCCGTTAAATCATAATTAGCATCATAATCGTAATGCTGATTATTGTAGCTTTCTTCCGTCTCGTATGAATTGTAGGTAAGTGATGAAGCAGCCCTTGACGGTGGTGCACTGATGTTAGTGGCTGACGATGGTGCAGAGACAGATGCCGGAGTAAAGCTCAGGGACTCCGTTTCAGCATTTAAAATTGTGTTCATCACTTCTCGCATTACTCTCAACTGTAAATGTCGAGGCAGACGCTTCGCACTTTCACAGGCACTATCAAAGAAGTAATCAAGTTCACCTAATAACTTTTTGCTTTCTTGTCTTCTCTCCTTCATAAACGATATCACTTTATTAACATCCTGTTCATTTTCTTTAACTAGTTTCCTGTTTCGCTTACGAAAGATTCTGCTACGTCCCTCTTGCTCATTTTCAGCCTCGTCTTCACCATCATCTGTCTCTTCTTTTTCGTTTTCTTCATTGCCGCCACCCGTCGCGTTCAGTTCAACGAAGTCCTCATCATCCTCCTTATCACCCTCGTTCTGCACTGTTGCAACATTCGAATCTGTTCTGTAAAGGGTAATATAATAATCATATCTCCTCTATTCCCCTCTTCACTGTTTATTACTTACCTTCGTGGAATGGTATCCGCCAGCAAGAAGGACATCTGCAATTCATACTTCCAGACTTTCATTTTCTTTGCAGCTTGTCCACTTTTAGTTCTTCTTCTTAACATAGCCTGCCTGTAACTATCTTTTAGCTTTTTCCAATCCGCCCTTAGATCATCAGCTGCAACAAAAGTTGCAGCATTTATAACAATTATTAACAAATACATTAAATTAAATTTTAGTCATTTTTTCAAGGTACCTCGCAACAATAAATTCGTTCCGATCAATGGCATTTACTTATCGTATGGGTAGATCTACAGTGAGTAAGATTATTGAAGAGGTTTGTGAAGCGATTTGGAAAAACATCCAACCTACAGTTATGCCTGAGCCAAATGAAGAGATTTGGAAAGCATCCGAAAACATTTTCAGAGAAAGATGGAACTTTCCTCACTGTGTTGCTTCACTTGATGGCAAACATGTTAGAATTAAGGCTCCTCAATTGAGAGGCTCCGAATATTTCAACTACAAGAAGTACCATTCAATTGTTTTGTTGGCATTAGTCGACGCGGTAATAAAAGGTTCCTCGCTGTAGATGTAGGACAGTATGGGAGAGTTAGTGATGGAAATGTGTTTACGAATAGTGCAATTGGTAATCGTTTGACTGAAGGAAACATTGGCTTGCCTCCAGATGAAAATTTGGGCGGGGTCTCTTTGCCATACGTCACAGTGGGGGATGAGGCTTTTCCCCTTAAAAGATACCCTATGAGACCTTTTCCGAGAATAGGCCGACGACTCAGTGAAGCAGAGCGAATTTACAACTACAGACTTTCAAGAAGCAGGAATACCGTTGAAAATGCTTTTGGTATTCTTTCTAATACTTGGAGAGTATATCATCATCCACTAGAGTGTCGTCTTGAACTTGCTGATAAAATTGTCAAAGCTACGGTGGTGTTGCATAACTATCTACGGGCATCATTGTTAGCTCAGGCCAGTGTTCCGGCCAACGAAGAAGACGAAGAGGAGGTAGGCGAAGTAGTACAGCAATTAGTTCAAATGCGTGCTGGTACTGCAAGAAATGTAACAAGGGAAGCCCTAGGGGCTAGAACTTCTTTCATGGAGTACTTTATGTCTGATGAAAGTCGAGTGGAATGGCAAGAAAGAGTAGTGAATCGCATAGTTTAAAAAAATATTTTATAATAATTAGTATTATAATATAATTATATATGTATTATGTATTTACCTGGTCTATGTAAAACTTTACTAATCTGCTCCCACGTATTATCCCTTACATTTTGATTCCTATAATCCTCCAAGCACTTTTTCCATAAACATGGTCGTTGTTTAACTTCCTCGATTAAAATTCCCAACACCATGTTTGTTTACTGTTTGTTTAACAATACGCGTCGACACCAGCACCACCTAGACTTGCAACGGCGTAAATAAAAACCAAAACATACATTGGACCGTTTACTGCGCAAGCCCGTACTCGGCGACGAATAAAAATATATCCGACAACAAAACATTCAACGACGCAGCTAACATCGCGAACATAGCGTACGCGGATCTGTGTGGCCAGTCCTGTTGTCCACAACAGAAGATATATTTTCGTCGTATAGCGAACATCGCGTACGTAGCGAACATAGCGCTCTGTGTAGCCGAGCCTTATTGAAAAAAGTTATGGGGCATAAAAGAAAAATCGGATGTGTTAATGTTTTTTTTTGTTTCCTTTTTTGAATATATTTTTGTCAAAAGAATATTTTTAAAAGGTGACATTTCGATAGGAAACTGAATTTTGAACAACTTTTCTGTATATGTATATGTACGAAAAGTGCACAGTATACCCTTATTGAAAAAAGTTATGGGGCATAAAAGAAAAATCGTATGTGTTAATGTTTTTTTTTTGTTTCCTTTTTTGAATATATTTTTGTCAAAAGAAATTATTTTTAAAAAGTGACATTTCCATAGGAAACTGAATTTTAAACAACTTTTCTGTATATGTATATGTACGAAAAGTGCACAGAATTCACCCAAATGCACTCTAGTCTATGAGGATAAATTCACCCCTTTCTCAAAAACGCACCTTTTTAAATAGCAGCACTCTGTGGTTTTCTCATATACATATGGCCGTCCATTGACCATATGAAATAATAAAACTTCTTTAACGCTGTAGTTCCTTTTTAAAATACATAATTAATAGTCTATTAGATATGGTGTAAAACTGTATATACAACCCTGTATATAGAGAACTATACTATTCGACTTCATAAAATAAATAAAAATCGAAAAAAATTTGATATAATTCAATATAATAATGTAGTTTGGAACTTTCGAATATGGTAAACACAACATTTGTTTCTTTTGAGCAGGATTCATAATGTGAATAATATTTTATTTTAATAATTGTTCAAAACATCCATAGATACTGCAAATGCATATAAAAACCCAGATCTATTTTAAAAGTTATTTTAATCATCCAGTGATTCCCCTGACCAGTTTTGCAATTCTTGGAAATGAAGTTCCAAACAGTCTACCTCATTCTTTGTAGCATTGTATGTTTTACAATTATCGGGTGGCTGAATAATATATTTGTAGCATGAGTACTTATAAATAAAATAACTCTTATTTAAATATATTGGTTTTATTACTTGCTCATGTAGTTAAAATTGTTAATATATTACATTGTAAGTTATTTTATTATTATTTATACTACTCACAATACACCAATAGAAATTTCACGTCACCAGCAAGTGTCTTAGAATGAAGTTTAAAATAAAACTGACGTGTAATTAAAATTAGCTCGTCGAAGCAGTTTCATTTCAGTTCAAGTTTAAATAAAGTAGAATCATTGGTAGTAGATATTGTTCAGTGATTGTTTAAGTTGTAGAAACATTGTGTGTTTTTGTCTAATCGAGGACTATTGTTTTAACATGAAAAAAAATGGGAGCGAGACTAATGAAAATAGAAGTCAACGAGGCAGGAGGGGTAAGTTTTTTTATAACAGGTTTTTTAAGTTATTTTTTATCTTCAAGTTTTACATTACATTATTAGAAAGTCTATTGGTAGGCTTTAGCCAGCTTTAAAATAGTGTACAGAATATCACAGTATAACCACATCAAAAATCGGTGTTTCTTTTCCATTTTCAGCTTCCATCTAAACAGTGGATTAAAGTATTGTCTTGACTCCTTGAGATGTTTTCGCGATTTTTAACATTTTATTTTTATTTATTCTCTACCAAAATTGATTTAGATTACTGTAGTCTTATCTTTTATCATTTAGGTAGGTATAACTTATGATGTATTTTTATTGCAAGGAAAAATGGAAACATTTAACTCAAATCATTAAAATTCTAATTCAAATAAATAGTCTAATCTACATATAGAAACTAATCAGTATAATCAATAGTTCAATACTGTAATCAGTGTATTAAGTATTTACAAAATTAATTTATTGTTTACTATTTCTAAACTAGAAATCCTAATTTTACAAAAATCATGATCCTACTACCTATTTTATATTTATAATTTAAGAAACTATATTTATTAAATTGATTTTCATCTACAACTTTAAATAAAATATAATAATAGAAAATGAAGACTTCCTTAAGGAATTCTGCTCATATGGGATAGGGAATTATAAAGTTAATATACACCTGGGAATTACAGATGAATACTTGCTTTTAAATAAATTGCATTAGTAGCAATCATTTTGCAGTACAATATGCTGTAGAATGTAAATTTATGTACTTAGAGGTGGTTCATTTTGTACTACAATTATTGTACATTGTTAATATTAAATTTTCCAACTCAATATACTCAATATAAAAGGTGTTCTATAGATATCCTTTCACATTATTGATTATTTGAGTACAATATCGTAGCGAGACAGAGACGAACTAGTTTTTGCGTTAGTAAAATAGCTTTTTATATTTTTATTTTATAACTTACAAACAATCTAAAACTGAAAAAAAAACGAAAAGTGGCTTAAAGACACACAATTATTTTTGAATTCACCAAAAATCTGTCAGTTTCTGATACTTTAGTTTGGGCTTATTTGATTTTAACCTTTTTTTTTATTTGACCTCTTGAACAATATTCTGCGGTCTTTTATAAAAGTGATTATGCAAAAAATCTCATGCGAATATTTTTCCCAAGGAATTCGAGGTTTTCGTCTCGTATAAACATGTTTTGCTGAATTTAAAACCAAAACCCTATTATTTTTCTATGATATATTAATTTGTTATTTATTTATTTGTCCTCTAGATTGTTTCAGTTCTTAAAAGGTTTATTTACAAGCCAAATTAGTGCAATGTAAATATTTTACATTTTTATACAGCAATTCTTATCGGCAGTGAAGACGGGAAGTCGTAAATTTTATTACATCTTTCAATGTGAGATAAAATAAAAATGCGATGACTATAGTAAAATTCATTAAGCGATGCAGGAAGATGTAAACATTAAATCGTGTCCGAACCGGTATGAGCCACCGAAAACGTCGGCAGACGAAATAAAGATGGACATTTCGGTTATTTTTTAAATATTTTTTAAGAACTGTTACTTGCATTTATGCATAAAATATTCATTAATTTTATAAATCGGATTATTTTTTCACTTACTATGTATTAGACTACATTGTACATTATAATGCGCTCCCTAACTTTCGCATGATTAGTTGGTGGGTGGGTCTCAATTTAAAAATTGGCGGGTTTCATGTTTATTAAAATGACAATAAAATTGAGGTATTGTGGCACAGTATATCGCTAAACAATTTATTAGCAATATATTGTGGTATTGGTACAAAGCGGATGATATTCACATTTTAGGATTAACCTGACTAAAGTTAAATCCCACTATTCGGGGGAGTGATTTCATAGTTTAAAAACGGAATATCCTCAAATTTAAATGTACACAGCGGCCCTCGAAAACTACCCGTTTTCTCAATTGCAATTTTCGCTTTCACATAAGAAATTACAGAATATATAAGTAGTATATTTCTTTGTGCTTCTCTATAGAAAAGTTGACCAGGAGTTGTCGTACAGTGTAGCCAATTCGTGTTCACAAGTAGTAATTGTTGTCATACAAAGCCTGTATTCTTCCACGCAGCGATTATCACCGTCATAAAAATACAAAAAAAACATGATTTTTTCAATAGTAAAAATTAATCACAAAATTGTAATAAAATAAATTTTATTCATATGTTCCGTTTTGTTACATATTTCAATTTATAAATAAAAATCGATATCTTAAAACATTATTTTTCAATCTTTTGGCAACCTTGCGCTTTAGCGACGGAATTCTGACCCACAGATAGCCATAAAACTCGTTTGACGGTAATGCTGATCAAGAAATCAACTCAACTTTTGTTCATTTACATTGGCGTTTCGGAAGGTAGGGCATGTGTTCCATTTTTTTGAATATATTTGTAATAAGTTTGTGTTATTGATTATATGAGTGTTATAGTTTGTCATTTTATAGTAAATTTTTAGTTATATTCTGTGATTATTTAGTTGAAGTTTCTGTTTATATTGAAGTTTTATATATATATATATATATATATATATATATATATATATATATATATATATATGTAGTTTAATTTGTTTTTATTTTATGTATATATAGTTTTATATAGTTATATTCTGTGATTATTTGATTTGAGTTTTATTGGAGTTTTGGTTTATACAATGGACGAAAAACCAAGTTGTTCCAAGAGAAGAAAACAAAATTCTGATGTTGATTCCAAAAATGAAAAGCCGCAAAAGAGACGTAAAATGTTAACGTCCGAAGAGAAGGTAATGATACGAAATGTTTATGAAAGAATTGTCGGCAGAAAAATGGCATTAAATGTTAGCCAAGCGGTCGACATTTGTAGCAGTTTGACAAAAGTATCGGTTAGCTGTATTTATCGTGTAATTACAAATACATCGAAAAATCAAAAGCAAGAAAAAGGTAAAACTAGAGGTAGGAAAAGCATTGTTTTAGATGAGGAGACAAGGAATATTATGCGTCGAAAAATTCATTCATTTTATTTTAGGAGTGAAATTCCAACACTGAAAAAAAATTTCTCAAGAGCTCGAAAACGATGACTCATAGAGTACACCCCAAGATATCTCGTAGAGTCTTAATCAGGACCATGCGCGAAATGAACTTTCAATATGTGAAACGCAACAGAAAAAGTATGCTATTAGAAATAAATGAAATTATTGTCTGGAGAAAAAAATATTTAGAAGAAATACGCAAAATTCCCAGCACTGGGCGGAAAATATATTATTTGGATGAAACCTGGATTAACGAAGGTCATACAGTCAGAAAAGGTTGGCAAGATTTAAATGTCAAAAGTAAACGCGAAGCATTTATAGAAGGCTGGTCTACAGGATTTAAAGCTCCATCAGGAAATGGACTGCGTTTCATCATCACCCATATAGGAAGTGATACATCGTTCCTTGATGATGGTTTGCTTCAATTTGAGTAAAAAAAAAAAACCGGTGATTATCATAAAGAAATGACTTCCGAAGTATTTGAGCGCTGGTTTAAGAGAATATTACCAAAATTGGAACCTGGGTCTGTGGTTGTTTTGGATAATGCGCCATTATCATAGCCGCAGACTAGAACAATTACCGACGACGGCATGGCGGAAAGGGAGAATTCAAGAATGGCTTAAAGAAACTCTGCGTCTACCACCTTATAATTGCGAACTTAATCCCATTGAACTTGTCTGGGCGCAAGTGAAAGGAGAACAAAACTTTCAAATTAAACGAAGTTAAGGAACTTTTAATTCAAGCAATCCTCTATGTAACTCCATAGAAATGGGATAAATGTATAGGCCACATAATTAAAGAAGAACGTTGTATGTGGGAACTTGACACTCATCTCGAAGTTTCACTAGATCCAATTATAATTACACCAGGTAAAGATAATGATAGCGATAGCAGCACTGCATTTTCAGATTTAGACAGCGAATAATATTTTCTAATAGTTAGCATAACATCAGCATAAAAAAAAACAAAAACCAAAAAAAAAAAAACGAGAACATAGCAAGTGTCAATAGCAAATGGGACAATATGGCTCTTGGCAAACATCCATTTAAAAAAGTAACGCGCCACAAGACATACCTCTGGGGAGGTGTGGAAACTATCTTAAAATTTGTTTTAAAAAAATTTCATTGTGTAACTCTTTAAGGACGGGTCGCATCAAAAAACGTTTTAGCATAACTTCCGCGGCAGCTAGGTGGCATCAGTAAGCTTTCTGCAAAATTAATTGTTTTTTATTACTTTTTGTTTGTGGCATTCTGTATTTTTAGGGGAATGACCCACACAAAATATGTATTCATATGTTTATTTACTGACGTTTCGATCTCTATATTCAGAGATAGTTTTTAATTAAACAAATGATAGTAATATTTATTTTCTATGGCTTTTTGCTTGTCGTTCTGTATTTTTAGAAATAATGTTGGGAATAAGCCACAATATATTTATTCAAATGTTTAATTTACGGACGTTTCGATCTCTGTAAAGAGACCGTTTACAAACATACAAATGACAGATATATTTATTTTTCTTTGTGTTTGTGGCATTCTGTATTTTTAGGGATAAGGTTGGAAATAAACCACAAGATATCTATTTACGTGTTTAATACACTGACGATTCGATCTCTATTCCAGAGACCGTTTTTAAAAAAGATAAAAAAAAAGAAAATAAATAATATAAGATTATAAAAATATATAATAATAAACAAATAAAATAAATATAACTATCATTTATATTTTTGAAAGCAGACTTTGGATATAGAAATCGAAATGTCAGTAAAAACTTGTAAATAAATATATTGTAGCCTATTTCGAACAATAATATTTAAAAAAATAGAATTAACGTTAAAAAAAGTGAGTGTACGCCACTGGATTTTCATACGTCTTTCCCCACTTCACCGCCTTTAAACGATGAATCACTCTCTCAAATAGTGGGATTTGACCATAGTACAGTTTTATTAGAAATTAAAATTTATTTTTCTTTTGACATTATGTAGGTAAAATTAAATTCTGACCCCGCCATGAAACCCGCCAATTTTTAAATTGAGACCCACCCACCAACCAATCACGCGAAAGTTAGGGAGCGCATTATAATGTAGTCTATTCAGTAATAGCATTAATTTATTTGCTATGCAATAAACATGAATATTTGAGAAAAGAAAAAAAATAATAAAGTGTCATAATTATACGGTTACTTATCGGAACGAGTAGACTCATTTGGAATATCTTTAACAATTATCTGTTAAATTTATCGTTGTTTATATGCCCTGCATCGCTTAATGGAATAAGGATAACTGGAATGTTTAAGATTAGAGAAACATAATATGTCATGTTTATTGGAAATATTCGACATCATTAGCACGTGCAAATCCTACCCTGTCGCCCAATTTCCTATGAAATTAAAATGGTAAATGTTTTTAGGATCCATTTATTTTTTCGGGCATGCGCATTTACGAGGTCCACGAGATTTTGAAACATTTTTACAACTGTAGAAGGTACTTACATACTTACTGGTACTTACATACTTACCTACTTATGCAATAGAGGCTGAAACCGAATGTTTTAATAATCAAAATGTTGGTTTTTGATAAAAATAAAATGATTGGTAATGTCATATTTTTACTTTTTTAATGCACAATGTCATTTTGTACTTATAAAGATTGTAGGAAGAAACACTGAAACTCATTTTAAAAGGTCATGCATAATTAGATATTCTTTCAATAATAATACACTTAAATAACAAATAACATCCATTCAGTATAGGATAAAATGTGCATTTTTGATAAACTCAATTAGAGAAGTTATTGTTTGATCAAGTCAAATCATTAGAAATAATGTATATTAAAAAATATATAGTAATTGGCATTAAATTGTTTTTATACTTACTCATGAATTGTATACATCAAAGTCAAATTTCTACTGCTATTGCTATATGCTCTCCCCAAACCCATTCAAACCTGTCTAGTCAACTTAGTAATTATTTTTTTTTCTGTGTTGGATAAATTTTGACGTCCACTGGGAGTGGCTGGAAGTTACTTTATAACTAAGCACATGGGCACATAGCCAATATCAATTGGCTTCTTTCCACATTCCTTATGCCCTATTAGAGTGAAGTAAAAATAAAAAAAGACAAATAGAAAGTTGTTAATCAAAATTAATGAATATTCACTATTATGATTATTCCTCTTTTTTTAAATTAAAGAAGTCTGCACCAGCAAGTTTATTTCAGTTAATCATAATGTCCAGTAGGAATTTTCGTGTTATAGGGTAAAAGCACCAGTTATTGGCCTCTTAAGGAGAACACGTCGATATAGCTATGAAATATTTTGTCACTGTGGCCTATTATAACTATTTTTAACACCATGTAATTTTATTATTATTTCTACATATTACAAAATTTTATTACGTTAATATTTCTTGTGTGAAAATATTTTATATGTGTTCTTTTATAAACGTGCAAATGAACCAGTTATTGGCCACCCTGTTCCAGTTATTGACACCATATATGTTAGTGATTGGCCATCATTTTTTAAAGAGATATTTTACCAAATAATTCGTTAGTTAAAATACATAGATAGGTAGGTGTTTGGGTAAGCAAGGATTTTGTGATGAGTGTGGACACAAAAAAAACACATGTCAAAGTAAACTTTTATTTTTTATTTTGGCAAAATTCGCAAACATGTACTTGATCTGTATCGCCATAGAATCTTGTTATGCAAGTTACATGATATGTTTTAAGACACATTTGGCATCTAATATCTTTACACTCTGTAATATTTAGTACTCATAGATAATACACACCTTTGGAAACTTTTTGATTTTTAAAATGTGATGGAATGTTTGATACCAAGTTTTTATTTTTAAAACGCGGAAGAACGTTTGATACCAAGTTTCGATATTCAAAGTGTGATGGAGTCTTTGGTAATAAATTATCAGACAGAATTGTAAGTTTTGTTGCGGAATGATTTGTACTATCATCAAATAATTTCCGTTTGGGTACAATTTGTTTCTCAGGGCTTGGAGATTTAGTGTGGGCAAGAAATATTTTCGGAGATAATCTAAAATTCTGGTGTAGGAACTTTGACAAATTCAGGTAGTGGTGGCTCAAAAACTTCAAGTTTGTTACTTCTACTTTTCTGGTGTAGAGAAGAAAACACTTTCAATGCTTTTTTTTGTCTTTTTTTGATATTTGTCAATAGGAATTTGAACTTTTACACCTTTTTTAAAATTTGTTGAGGTCATTTCTATGGGTTCTCTACTTTTCTCTTCAGACTTAAAAGTTTTAGCTAATTTTTTGGGATTTTTATTATTCGAGCTTTTTATTTTCTTTTGATTTTCCTTAATACTCTGTTTTTCCTTTCTTTCAAGTTTCCTCTGTTCCTTTTTATGCCCCTTTTCTAATTTTTTTCCATTTTTTCTTTTTCTATTTTTCTTTAAGCTATTAATATAATTTTCAAATCTGTACAAAGTTGACTTGTCTGTATGGGTTTTATGCCCATCAACAAAAAGTATCACCGGACGTGTAATATTATTTTGATTCAAATAAGGGTTAAATACATTTCCAATATATTCATAAAAGTTTTTGTTGTCCATCCAACCATTTTCAGTTAAACCAATACCGCACGAATTCGGCACAGCACTTAGTATATTATTGGCAATTTTTTATGGGGATAAATTATCATAGGAGGTAAAATATTGCCTATTGCAGAAAATGGGACATTTTTATTTTTGGGACATAAATAAAATCATGTCTTGTCATCATTGAAGATTCTTCTTGAATCTTTAGAACGTCTGAAAGTCCTTTTTTATCTAGATAAGATTTTATGTTGTCAAACCATTGGGTAATATCCCTTTGGTTAATGTTTGAACTTGCTGATGTCACTCCCTCTGAAGTTTTTAGCGAAATATTGGGATTGCGCTTTAGAAATACTGATAGTCATGTTCTACCTGGTCTATTTTCAACAAATGGAATATCTCTAGGGTTACTGTGTAAAAATGATTTAACGAAGTCCGTAATCGTCCACAGTTAGTTGACGACAGTTTCAGTTGTTCCTCTTCATCCTTCGAAAGAAATGGATCTGGTCCATACTTTATCTTGTAAAGAAATTTTTCATTTTTCCGGTAATTTATGGTGGCTCTGGGAATAAAAATTGTTGAGGCTTCTCGCTCACTCATACCATTTTTAATAACGCTTTTTTAACATAGTCTTCGGAATACTTTTTTTTATAATTGTTTTCAGTTTTAGATCGTTTTGGCATATTTTCTAAAACAATTTATAATAATTAATTATTTATAATAATTATCAATGTATCAGTTATTGGCCATCTAGGCCAATAACTGATACATTGATAATTTCATGCATTAGTATTTGGCCACCTTAAAATTTACGTTATTTGTATAAATAACGTTATATTTGTTATGCAGTTTGGAACAGGACAAAATATAAAGTAGAAGGTAAATTGCAGTATATAGTACTTACCGACCAACTTAAGTTTCTGTAGGTAAATAACAAATTTTCGGTTTCAAACTAGCGGCACAGAACAGTGTCTCTTTCAACATTAAATACTGACTAAAATGTAATAGTTAACTTGAACTTGATGTGTCATACTCTAAGAGACATGTTGCCAAACTTAAAAAAAAGAGTTAGAATTAACAAAATACTAACATTTTCCTAATTCTAATCAAAACATATTAGTAGGCCAATAACTAGCACATGGCCAACAACTGGTGCATTTACCTTATGTTTGATACAATAACTCCGTCAAATTATCCAGACCTTATATACTAAGGATGAAACATGAAATTTTTATATGTAGCTGATCAACAACGGATCTGCAGTCACATTATCGGCTACAATGTCTGACCTGAATTTGACAGGTGATTAATGCGAATATAATTATTTTATCACTGACATTTTAATGTTAAACATGTGACATATATGTTAGTTAATAATTGAATGTATTCTTTTTTGTAAACCAATAAATTCATTAAATTTTTAATATTTTGCATCCAATTACATTAGTGGCATATGTCTACCTATAAAATTATGTTTTTATGTTAGCAAAAATAATAATTTTTTACTTAATTTTACAATGTTACATTTCATTATATATTTTATACAAATGTAAATAACAACGAAAATAAATATTTATTGAATATACAAGTAAATATATATATATATATATATATATATATATATATATATATATATATATATATATAATACTTACTAGGAGTACATGAATGTAGCCACTAAATATATGGGTATAAACCCGTTAACAAATAGTTAGTTACATTTGGTTTACAGTATTTCTTATAAATTAATAAAGATGTTAAAGTTACCGTTGGATTAGGTAACATGGCGACATATGACTCCACGTTGAAGCTGATAGTCTTCAGACGGTTTGTCTATTTCAATCAGTTGCTTCCATAAAGTCCTCGTAGACACACCGTCTCAGGACTATCAACTTCAACGTGGAGTCATATGTCGCCATGTTACCTAATCCAACGGTAACTTTAACATCTTAACAATTTATAAGAAATACTCTAAACCAAATGTAACTAATTATTTGTTAACGGGTTTTTACCCATATATTTAGTGGCTACATTCATGTACTCCTAGTAAGTATTAACCACACTTTGCATTAACCTTGGTTAAAATTTAAACTTCATGTTCTTTCTAATTAAGTGGTTATATTTTTTCTAGGACACTGATGATGGAATATGGATTCCGAAAACGTTTTGTCTAACATAGCCCGTTTGGGTTTTCAAATATATACCTTTTACAAAGGATTTTGATTATTTTTTTAATATATGGTATACAGTCAACTACAGGAACGTAGATTCCTTGTGGATATTATTAACATGTTAAGCCCCAAAACATAAACGCGCTCCTTTTGTCTTAGACCAAAGGATTTTTTTTTGTACTTCCGACATCAAAATTATAGTAGTTTTTATGTGTGCATGACAATTTTACGTTCTGACAATTAAAACAAGAAAAAAATATTATGGTCACTTTTGGTGCACACGGTCTGTGGATAAAAATTTTTGTTCTTTCTGTGTGTGGTTGGAGGGTCGTGTTTGGTTTCATTCCATAGATTTTTGAATAATATTAAACACCTGTTTTTCAGGTTTTCGATCGTATGTTCACTTCGCGAAATATTGGACCATCCCGTTTCTTTTAACGCACCCTGTATATAAGTAGTATATTTATTATTTTTTGCCTTCAATAGAACAAAATACAACATTCTTACTGAACGTAAAAAAGAGTAAATCAAATCAGTTATTTTTCAAGTGATTGGAATTAAATTTTAAATCCATTGTTTGAAGCCCACTGATCGTTATTACTTGGTCTTCATATTACATGGTTTTTACTTTATCAAAATAAGCATAATTTTTGGTGGTGCAAAACTTTTGCGGTCAAGTTTATTATATATTTCAGAAAAATGTCAAATATATTTAAGAAAAATTTCAATGTAAAATTCAGTGATTAGTTTTCAATAAAAATCATTTCGTCCTCATGATAATAAAACCCACTTATCAGTAATTACATTGTAAACTATAAGGAAACAATCATGATACTATTTTAATCATCTCCGTCATAATGTCAAAACTCTATTATCAGCAATTTCACTGTAGATAAACTAACGAATGATTCATGATGCTAACCAAATATACCTATAAACGCAAACAATAGAAATGAACAAAACGAGACAATTAAATATAATTCCACGGCGGAGCAGCACATTGAAAATTTGAGTTATAAAGAAGTGGTTCAGATAATAAAGAATCCAAAAAAAAAACAGTGGTTTAGATAATAAAGAATCCAAAACACAATAAAGCGTCAGGGACAAGGAATTTCGGCAGAGTTATTAAAATATAAAGGATCCGAACTCTGAGGAATAATTCATTATCTAATATTAATAAGGACCAAACAGCAAATGCCGGAGGAATGGACAGTTGGACTTTACAGCTAATACATAAGAAAGGAGATAAAAGGATATACCAGTATTATAGACCAATTACATCGCTAAATGTAGTATAAAAATTCTTTCTCGTATTATCTATAATAGATTGTTAGAATACTCTGGAAATATAATAGGTGATTATCAAAATGGATTCAGACCACATAGAGCTACTACAGACAATATATTCATAATAGGAACGATTCGCATAAGAACTGCTGTCCTGTTCCTAATTTATAATGTCAACTAAAAAAATTAAAAATGAGATTCGTTGCGAAAAAATCGCTTTACCGCTTCAACTGAAAATAGAAATGCTTGATCGTTTACACCTTGGATAATCGTTTGCATCCATATCATGTTCATTCAATGTCAACAAATCAACTGTATGATCGATAAAAAAATCAGTGGATAAAATAAGGTCGTCTGTAGCTTCAACTTCTCTTCAGACAGTCGGGATTAAAATCTTCATTTTTCCTGTAAATGATGTGACTGCTACTGTCTCCAACACACACTTCAAATGTGGACTCATCACTCCATTGTGCTGAATCCCATTGCGACTGAGTCCAATCTTTATGCTCTTTTGGCTATTTTAGTCTATTTTTCTTTTGTTGTAATGTTAAAAGTAGCTTTTCCTTAGCCTAAAATAAAATGAAATTTATTAAAAACAATTCGTACTAATTTTTTCAACTATAAAACTTTCTTTATAAGTACTTACCAAATTATAATGTGTTGGCCTCTCGGTGACATGTTGATCCAGAAACGCGTCTTTCAATAATAGCCCAGGGAAATAAGCATTTTTTCATGACACTCGTCCGGCCAGGCAAACGACAGTTGTTTTGAGTAGTACTGACCTCTGTAACAAAAACCTATATGTTTCCTGCAGTCGATTTTTTGGACTTAATTAGTTATTAACAAATTAAGGTCAAAAAACGGAAAATTTTTGCTTTTTTCGTCTATCCGCAAAAAGTGAAGAAATTTAAACAAATTTTAGAACAAAGGAAACTTATAAGTTATATAAAAACCTTCAAAATGGCGTTTTCTAAATTTTTCTATCCTTATTTGTTGCTTATAAAGTTGCAAAATAAGTCAAAAATTTCGGTTTTTTTATAAATGTTAATAATTTTTTTGAAAATAAACTTATAATATTTATATTTCATGGAATGATGTATCTTGCAGTTCTTAAAATAGGGTTGAAATTTCAAAGTGATCAGTCCAATAGTTTAAAAGTTATTTTATTTGTTTCTACTAAATTAACATTTTTTGCAACAATATAAGTCAGAAATTTATACAGTTTTAGTAAGTCAAGGCGTAGTTTCTGGTAGAAGACTTGTTTTATTATTTACATTAAAAAAATATTAAGAAAATGAATTTTAAATATTGCAAAATAATTTTGCAAAAACATGTCGATTTTTTGCTTATAAACAATTAGAATAACTTTTTAACCATTGACTGTAAAAATATTATTTTTACATATTTAAAAAGCCTGAATTTTTTCACAAAATTATGTAGAAAAAAGTTGGTCCTAAAATAATTTGGTACAAAGTTAGCCTCTTTTTTTATTTAATCCATAGCACCTTTGTTTATAACACTTAAGAAATTTAATTAGCGCCGTTTGAAAGAATATTTTTTACAGTTTTAAAGAACTAAATTTTAAAAATATTGCCCTTTAATGGAATCGTCCACAAAGCTTCAAAATGTATGTAAAATCGGTCGGCTTTGAAACTCTCGGGAGCTGAAGGTAGGGGGAAGGCGCTGTTAACTGTATCTCTGTTCCTTTTTTATGTATTTCAACGTTTCTTTTTGAACTTGTATGTACTTTTTGCGTACATTACGAATATACATTATTTTAATAAATAAATTGTCAAATAAACCACCTAATTTGTTTAAAAACATCGTATCGAAAATCGTATCAAGTTTAACTCCCTGTATCATTAAAAAGGAGTATAGGACCATTGATCTATTGCAACCATAGTTTTTTAATAATTGTTAAAAATTATAAAACATATTCGTTTTCATAATATTCGGTAAATCAAATACAGGGTAAGTCAAAATGCAAGTACATTATTTTCTTGATAATTTTAAATAGAACACCCTGTATTTTATATCACTAGCGAAAAGTACTAATACCGTACTTCACATTTTATGGAATACTCCCTATACCTAAAGTTATCAATTTTCTAGATAAGTATTAATTTGGTAGATAGTTTAACTTTTACCAATAATTATTGGGAGTTGGCCATGATTGATTTGTCAGAAACTCACAGTTTGACATTATTGTTTTTTTAATTCAGTAACGAGATAACGACACAGAAAAGGAAACAATTTGTTTCAAATAAAATTTATAAAAAATAACCGACAGAAAATAAAAAAAATAACAACACATAAAGAAATAAAAAACAACTGTAATTTTAACTAATCATACTTAAGTAAGGTGTTCAAAATGACCTCCCAAAACATCTATGCATACTTGAAAGCGGTCATTGAAAGAGTTACTTACATTACTAAGCATTTGTAAAAAAATATTTTGAAATGCAATTCGGATTCTATTTTTATATCCCTTGTTGTTGAAGGTATTTTATATACTTCGTTCTTAATGTAACCCCCAAAAAGAGTCCACTTTATTGAATTCTAGTGACCTTGGGGCCACCCCTTAAGATCCATCTTTCACCAAACTGATCATTAAAATATACTGATACTAAAATACACTGATAACTTTATGTATAGGGAGTAGGTACTCTATAAAATTTGAAGTACGATATTAGTACTTTTCGATAGTGATATAAAATACAGGGTGTTCTATTTAAAATTACCAAAAAAATAATGTACTTGCATTTTGACTTACCATGTATTTGATTTAACGAATATTATGAAAACGAATATGTTTTATAATTTTTAACAATTATTAAAAAACTATAGTTGCAATAGATCAATGGTCCTATACTCCTTTTCAATTATACAGGGAGTTAAACTTGATACGATTTTAGGTAATATTGGTTATATATAACTATTTAAATACCCGGTATAACATAATAAAACTTTACATTGTTATGATGTGGAAGTGAAGCAGATTTCAAATTTAAAATAAAATACAGGGTGTTTCATTTAAAAAACGTAAGTTTGGGCTGCCACCATCTTATAGAACACCCTGTAGGATTGTAACTAATTTTAAAATGTGGAGTTTAAAGCTATCTACAAGTTTTGTCAACAACATTTTTTTGTAATTTTTACTATAACAGATCTACTGAGCTTCCTCACCCTAATCAATCACCCAGAAGAGTTATCAGAAAAATTTTCCAACCAAATTTTCTACCAAGTAACCAAGAACAAAATTTGATTAATTTATTAATGTTCTGTATTCTGAGAAAGATTTCCGAAGTAGAAATCGAAACGTCAAAAATAAACTTATTATAAACTTAAATTGTGGCTTATTTCCCAAAATATAGGAAATGACAAATACTTCTTTTACATTCAAACTTAACTTAAATACTACTAAAAAAATTTAAAAAAATTGTTTTTAAACAAATTAGGTGGTTTATTTGACAATTTATTTATTGAAATAATGCATATTCGTAATGTACGTAAAAACTCAATACAAGTTCAAAAAGAAACGTTGAAATACATAAAAAAGGAACAGAGATACAGTTAACAGCGCCTTCCCCCTCCCTTCAGCTCCCGAGAGTTTCAAAGCCGACCGATTTTACATACATTTTGAAGCTTTATGGAGGATTCTATTAAAGGGCAATAATTTTAAAATTTAGGACTCTAAAACTATAATGTACATTCTTTGAAATAGCGCTAATTAGATTTCTTAATTTTTATAAACAAAGGTGCTATGAATTAAATAAAAAAAGAGGCTTACTTTGTACCAAATTATTTTAGGACAAACTTTTTTCTATTTAAATTTGTGAAAAAATTCAGGCTTTTTAAATATGTAAAAATGATATTTTTACAGTCAATGGTTAAAAAGTTATTCTAATTGTTTATAAGCAAAAAATCGACATGTTTTTGCAAAATTATTTTGCAATATTAAAATTCATTTTCTTAATATTTTTTTAATGTAAATAATAAAAAATGTCTTCTTCTACCACAAACAATCGTTACAATTACTAAAACTGTATAAATTTCTGACTTATATTGTTGCAAAAAATGTTAATTTGGGATAAACAAATAAAATAACTTTTAAACTATTGGACCGATCACTTTGAAATTTCAATCCTATTTTAAGAACTTCAAGGTACATCATTCCATGAAATATAAATGTTATAAGTTTATTTTCAAAAAAGTTATTAACATTTATAAAAAACCGAAATTTTTGACTTATTTTGCAACTTTCTAAGCAACAAATAAGGATAGAAACATTTAGAAAACGCCATTTTGAAGGTTTTTATATAACTTATAAGTTTCCTCTCTTCTAAAATTTGTTTAAATTGCTTCACTTTTTGCTGATAGAGGAAAAAAGCAAAAATTTTCCGTTTTTTGACCTTAATTTGTTAATAACTAATTAAGTCCAAAAAATCGACTGCGGGAAACATATAGGTTTTTGTTACAGAGGTCCACACTACTCAAAACAACTGTCGTTTGTTACTTTTTTTGCTTATTTCCCTGGCCTATAATGTCACTCCATAAAACTCCATATAATGTGCTTGTCGGTTTTTCACTATAATGCATCTTAAAACCCTTCAATCTGCTTCGGTTATTTTACTTTGATAGCCTGACAATTGCAACATATTCGCGATTTCCGAATTGGATTTTCCAGAAATGAAAAATCTAATAATAATTGAACACATTTTCTCATCGATAACTTTACCTCGACCCATTGTACAATCCTTAAACGGCAAAAAGCATTATACTACAAAAAATACATTTGACATTACTGACAATATTATTGTTTTGATGTCATTTTTCCATAGCTACCTCTGGATTTCACGTAATTATGAAAAAATCAACGTTTTTGTTATTGTTGAAAATAAATAAAAAACCAAAGGGTAATGGGAAGAGGCTCGTAGTTAGATTTGTCCTTTTAAATCTATTGAGGATTAACAGTTCTTGCAATCACTTTACAATACTATGACGCACTTTTCACTGAAGTACAAAAATATCCTTATTTATATCTTAATTGTAAAATAGATGCCTATATATATATATATATATATATATATATATATATATATATATATATATATATATATATACATATATATATATTATATATCATTTTTAAAAGATTTTTCTAAATTTTTAAATCTAGCATCATAAAAATTTGATTTTTTAGGTCACGAAAACTGGAGAAAACGTGATGGTGACTCAGTTTCTGGGAGTTCAGGAAATCAAAAATGGAGGGAACGTAATCATGGTTCTGATCCTAGACCTGAACGTGGTCGTGGCCGTGGTCGTGGTCCTGGTCAGGGTCGGGGTTATTATGGTGTCCCTGGAAATGACAATGACGGTGGTAATGATGGTGGCTTTATCCCAGGGAACAAAGAAAATAATGAATCAAACAGAACGCGTAAACCGCGTCAGATGGGATTCAAAGCACTGGAAGAATTAATTGATAAAAATAACATTGAAGAAATTATTTTAGATCTTAATGACGGCAAGAAAGGTTTTAAGACATTACTGGATAGCCCTTTATCGACAGATATGATTGTTTTAGTTGTCAAAATGTTGGCTAAAATATGTGATTCTGATTTTAATACTTCGAAGACTTCGCTACTGCAATTTGCAATCGGGAGTGACTTTTCCAAACAAGTGATCTCTTTTGTAAATGGCTTGGCTGTTCAGGTAAGTTTTTTTTTTACATAGTATTTCTTTATCTCCAGTTTGTGGTGATACGCTTGATATCATCCGTCCATCTAGTTGGTGGTCGTCCTCTGCTTCGATATGCCTCTTGCCTTGGTCGCCATTCCAGAATCTTTCTGGTCCATCCCTCATCCGTTAATCTAGCAACATGTCCGGCGCAAGATCATTTAGCCATGGCTATTTTTCAACTGCATCTCTGACTCCTGTTCTTCTTCTTATTTCTAGGTTTGGTACTTGATGGTAATATTGGTAATACCTAATATTGATCTTTTCATAACGCGTTGTGTAACTCTTATTTTATCTATTGCTCGTTTTATCAAAATCAGTGTTTCTGCACCATATGTAAGAACCGGTAAACTGCACTGGTTAAAAACCTTTCTCTTTAAACAAACTGGGATAATAGACTTAAAAATGTTATTCAGTCTACCAAAGGCAGCCCATGTGAGACGTATCCCTGCTGAATCTCATGCCTTGGATATTTGTAAGCTATTACTTGGTCGATGCTATGGCTCTCAATCAGAATTTTACCGCTGACTACAAGGTTGGTCATATATTTTGTCTTTGAGGTGGTAATTTTAAGACCAATTGTTTTTGACACTTTATAGAGCGTGTGCAGCATTTTTGTAGCTTTATCAACTCTATCAGATATTAAAACGATGTCATCGGCAAATCTTAGGTGGTTCAGATCTTCTCCATTTATATTAATTCCTATATCCTCTCGTTCCTCTCGTTTCATTTGGTTGAACATAAATTCAAGAACAGCTGTAAACATTTTAGGGGAGATAGTATCACCCTGTCTAATATCACGTTCTATTCGAAACTTCTTGGCATCTTCATGAAGGCGGACACAAGCTGTACCAGTTTCGTAAATACTTTTAATCAAGGCGATATATCGGTAGTCAATGCGGCAGTCAGCCAATGCTCGAAGCATTTTATGATGATCTATAGTATCGAACGCCTTTTCATAATCTACGAATATAAGAAAGATAGGCTTGTTATACTCTGTACACTTTTCTATTAGCAACTTTGATAGATGATCATTTGTTCCGTATCAGGAGCGGAAACCACCCTGTTCACAAGGTTGGTAACTATCCAGTTTTTTCACAAGTCGTTTTGTTATTATCTTGATGAATAGTTTCTATGTATGGGAGAGCAAACTAATAGGTCTGTAGTTCTTTAGGTCTGAAATGTCACCTTTTTTGTGCATTATGGTTATTATTGCAATATGCCACTGGGAGGGGTTACGTCTCTTGTCAAACAAGCATTGAACATCTTTTTTGATTTGTTCAATGACTATCCCATATTCTCCAGGTCATTTATTGTTTTTCATCTCCGAGAGAGCCGATTTTATTTCCTCTGTTGTGATATCTGGGATGTCTTCTGAGCCTACATTTTGAACTTTTGGTATTTGATTTTGATCAGGATCTGGAACTTCTTCTCGCTTATACAACTCTGAGTAAAAATCTCTTGAGCAATTTTTAAAATATCTTCCTTATTTGTTGTTGTAGTTTCTCATTTTTTATTTACAAGTATTTTCCGATCCTTCAGTCATTTGTCGGCGCAGAACCTTTAAACTTTTATTTTTATCAATGGCTTGAGTTATGTATACAGTGTTGTAATTTCTGACATCTTTTCGAATGGATTTTGTGATATCTTTGTTTAATTCTCTAAGTGTTACAAAATTATCTGTGTATTTCTCTTTCAATTCTCTTCTTTAGTAGCTTGAGTGAGTTTCTCCATCTTGTTTTCTCATTTTACTGTCATAATATATATGACAGTAAAAGATTGCATTTAATTTCAATTCGAATGCCACCTTCTTTAGTAGCTTGAGTGAGTTTCTCCATCTTGTTTTCTCATTTTACTGTCATAATATATATGACAGTAAAAGATTGCATTTAATTTCAATTCGAATGCCACCATTGTTCTACACGCGTTTCGAGTTATTCAACTCCTCATCAGGAACACTTGTGGAAGTTCATTCAAACTGAAATGAAATGCAATCTAGTATTTGGCCAGTATAATTAAAATAACAGCCTCTAGTTAGAGACTCTGAATTTACGGTTTACCTAATATATATATTTGCTACGTCTTTTTCGTCAAAAAGGTAATAATGATTTTCTATACATTTATTTATTCTTGGAGCATTAATCGAATTAAGTGAATTGTATTATATTGAGGATTACTAATGCAGATTCTTCTTGTGGCATGCCACAGGTCTTCTGAAGTTTACTAGAGGACGTGGCAATTGATTTAGATTTCGACCTTCCATATCCCACACATGCCGGATGAGTTATAAATCTGCTGATCTTGGTGGCTACTCCAAAGTCTCTATACCAGATTTTTGTATGAACTTCATGGTTTCGCGGACAGTATAAGGTCTTGCGTTATCCTGTTTAAAGACCGAATTTGGAATGCCATTGGTCATTCCAGTTTTGCTGAACTTTGCACCATTCTAAGCGTCGAACCTTATGTTGTGATGTCAAAGGTAACACCAAAAGTCGACAGTGAGTTCTCAATCCCACTCTTACTTCCTTTAGCTGCAACTAAATCATTTCTTATTTCACGTACACTGTCCCGTCTATTTCTGAGAGCAAGAAGTCTAAGATAGCGCAAATTACCGCCTTGCAATATTCTAGGGCGTCCAGACCCTCCAGGCCTCCGATAAGCCTCATCATTTAACCACCTTCTCCAAACTCGTTAACACCGTTGATGGAATAGTTTAACTTTTTGTGAAATTTCACAAAACCGGCCTCTTTCATACCTACAATGCGTACTTTTTTTGAATTCGCTTAAAAGATGAAGTTGCCGGCGACCGAGAACTCTTGGCATTTTAAATTTTTTGGCTAAATCAAAACCAAAACAAAATGACTAAGAATTACATATAAAACAAAGTTAAATACGCAGAAATAAATCTTTTTGTTTTTGCAAAAGAAAAGAAAAAAAATCAGTTAAAGAAAATATAGTGAGGTAAAAACTTTATCTCATATATATTTTTAAATAAGACTTACAAAGAAAGATTTTGATCCAAATAAATAACCGTATATAAAGTGGCATTTCTTTGACCATCAGTATAATACTTAGACAGTTAAACATTCTAGTAATTTTCGATATCGTTTCACTCTATACAAACATTCCTATAGACGAAACTAATAAACATTCTTAAAACTAAATACAATATCCAGCAAGACCACTTATCTTTCATTAAACATTGTATGTCCAACACTTATTTCATATTCTAAAGTCAATTCTACAGACAAATAAATGGTGCCCGAATGGACTCCCCACTATCCAGTAATTGTCAATATCATGTTCAAACTGACATAATCAAACCCATCTGAATGGGATACATCCTAGTATCCAGTTTACGATGGAGGTGGAAACTGATTCATCCTTACCGTTTCTCGACGTTATAAAGAGAAACCAATCCTAAGCTTTTCATAACTCTGTTCGAATACTTACCCATACCAATCGTTACTTGAATGCCAACTCTCATCATCCACCTTCACAAATTATTTCAATCATTAATACCCTTGTCTCATTTGCCATGATGCAAGTAGACCCGCTGAGCTCTCTAGTTTAAATCAACGCTTCATGTAAAATGGTTACCCGTTTTACATGAAAATCACATCAATAGGAACGTGCAGTCATTAATCTTACACGCAATGTCAACCCAAAGACTTAGATTCTTATCATACGACAGCTTTTCTTCCTTTCATCAAAGGTGTCACTGACAAAATCGACGAAATTCTTATATCAAAAGGAATAAAGACAATATTTATCTTCCAACAAAAATTTTCTTCTCTTGTCCGATCAATCAAATACAAAATTCCAAATGAACAACACGGAGTTTATGAAATTCCTTGTGCAGACTGCCACCGATCTTATATAGGCCAAACAAATCGTATAATTTAAAATAGGATTTATGAACATTCCATTCCTGTTCGCAATTCAGATTCAATTTCAACTCTAGATCAACACCATCTTTATAGTCACAAAATTGATTTTTAAAACTCCAGAACCATACCTTCCATCCGCTTCTATAAACCAAGAATTATCAGAGAAGCCATAGAAATTGAACAAAGGCTAAATTGTCTCAATAAAAGAGATGACTGCATACGGTTATCTTCGACATGGAGACCTCTTATAAAGAAAATATCGTCCACGAACACCTGCGAATCAAAATCCCACTGTCAGAAATGTTTGCACCAACCCCTGCACCAATTTCCACGCTAACCCCTGCACCAATTTCCACGCTAACTTTCCACGCTAATTTCCAGAGAGGATGTCGAAAGCTCGGCACAATGAGAATCAACGCGTTGAACTCGAAAGACTGTTAAGTTTCAGAACCACTTTGTTTTATTTTTAACTTTCTACTAGACAAGCAATACTTATATTTTCCTTTTTTTATATTTCCTTTCTTTTTTGGGAATTTTTTTACAATTTTTCTATGTATTTTATCATCTTTTCAGTTTCAGCAGTTTCTTGCAGCACTTATATGTTTAAACTGTCAGTTGTGCCACATTTCCGTCTTTTTGACCCAGGCTGTTGATTCATGTTTGCGGTTAATAATAAATGATCACTACTTACATCCGCCTCTCTACTGCTTCGGCAACCTGTTATCATTTTTTCATGCTGCTTTTTTTAATATTACGTGATCCATTTTTTGAGTAGGTACATTTTATTTGGTGCTATCCAGATACCAGAAACTTTGTACTTACTGCTGATAGACTTTCTCTAGTTACAGATTAATCAATAGGTATTTGTCCAATATCGCTAATAATTTCATGTTTACTATTATTGCCTATAATTGGTTTATATGTCTCCTGCGTTTCTATCTTTATATTAAATTCAGATATCGATCAAATAGTTCAATAGGGGGTTCATGGTTTAAATAATAAATATTTGGGTTTTATTTTTTGTTTCATTACTTTTATTATTCCTTTTTTATTTTGTGCCTCTTTGTAAGTATTTTTTGTTTATAAAGCTTTACAATATTACAAGTATCATATTGGTCGAAATAATTATATTCTTTTCTTTTTTTTCTAGAATTCAACAGAAAAAAGGTTTAATAAGTACTTTTGGAAGGATACTGATGATTTTTGGAATAATATAATCAAAATATCGGAACATTATAATGATTTATTACCTTCCACTTCTTGCGATTTTACAGTAAAACTTTTAAAATCTGTTAAATTTAGTATCCCAGCTGTACAAGAAAGCCATAAAATGCATATTTCTGATGGAATCAAGAACAAGGTTGGTATTTACTAATACACAATTAAAATTTTGTATGAACTCTTAGTTTCTGAGCTTCTAATTTAATACCTCATTAGAGAACACATAATATACCTACTAATAATATTACTTACAGAGTTATTGATTAGAAGTAACAAAAGGTACTGTACACTGTATAAACTTCTATCGCCCATTGAAACTCATCATTTTGCGCGTGTAATTAGCCGTTACTTATTGCAAATGAATAATTTCATCATACGTCGGAATGTTCAAAAAACAGACCCAAAATATGCATATTGGTACACTCTGACAAGAAATTAAGGAGGATGACTCATAAAATAATATAATATGCTAATTGTACGAGGTCCAAATCAAATACGCTATGTACTAAAAGTAAATCAATATAATATTGGTTTACATTTTGATAGCTCTCCGTACATTTTAACGTTTAACACGTGATTCTCTACAGTGAGCCAGTTGTAACAACAGACATATTCACGGTACGTTTTAGCAAATTAAAATTTGGTCAGCACAATTTATTCGAATTTTTAATTATTTACTCGCTATTAATGGCGTTTCATAAAGGCATCTTAATAGAATTGTCTGCATCGGAATTTGTTGTTTAGAATGTTAGTAAAAACAGGTTTATTTATTACTATTTATATTCTAAAAATTTATTTAAAATCCTTTATAAAAGGTATATAATAAAATGCCCAAACGGGCTATCACAAAGATATTGCAAAACGTTTTCGGATTATTAAATCCATCATCAGTGCAGACGAGGTATACATGCTATGAGCCACCAAAATATATGGGTCCAAACCCTTTAAATGATATAAATTTACATTTGCTTTACATTATATGTGGTTACAAGTTATGATGTTTAAGTTACCGTTGGAATTGGTAACATGGCGACGTATTACCCTACATAGGTAAAATGGTCCTGAGACGAAGCATGTATACCTCGTCTGCACTGATGATGGATTTAATAATCCGAAAACGTTTTGCAATATCTTTGTGATAGCCCGTTTGGCCATTTTATTATATACCTTTTATAAATGATTTTAAATAAATTTTTTGTGATATATGGTATACAGCCAGCTACAGGAACTTAGTTTCCTAGTGGATTTTTTATTTATGTTCTGGTTTTTTAAGCGTGACCCTTTTTGTTTTCCGGCCAGGGTTTAAACCATTGATCCACTAGATCTTTCACAGTGAAGTCTGACCCGCTTAGCTATCTGACACAGGATTTTATTCTAGTCTATTCTAGTTATTAAGATCAATAAATAGTTGAATAGATAATCCAACAATAAAAATTACTTTGTATTCTATGGTTTAAAATTGTAGCATATTTAGCCCAAATATAATAAATCTATTCTTATAGTTTATTCGTCTTCCGGGTTTGGACCGTGTCATTTGTGAGTGACCCAAAAGTGAGTTCATCTCGACGTTTCGCTACAATGGTATGTAGCTTCTTCAGGAGAACAAAGAAAAAGAAATCAAAAGACAGGAAGATGGGTAGTTAGCAACGGTAACTCAGTTACTCAACGCAACCAGAGGCGAATACTAACTACCAAGATGGGCATTTGGTCACAGTAACTCAACTACTTAACGCAGCCAGAGGTGAAAACCAAATGCCAGGACAGGGATTCATGTCCAACAGCTCAGAATACTAACGGGTCGAGAGGTGGGGAGTGAATCCGACGATTACTCCGCTACCGCTCTATTTATAGTCGCGGTGACCTGTCGTGTCGGGACGTATCGGCATACTCCGTGGCGCGAACGTCAAGAAGCGCGCGCTGGCCAATCATGTGGCTGCATCGTGGTAGCGGGACCGGACGGCGGCTCTAAACTGAGATTCCAGATGGGAGACAAGTAGTATCCTTCCTCTCGATTGATATTATGTGGATTTTTTCGGATCTCTAGAGATTCGCGGATTTTCCTGGAATAAAAGAAGGGGCTCTTAGAAATAATATGGGTTTTTTCGAACAATATGGAATTACCGGTTTCTTGGCAGTGTTCTGCAACTGCAGAATGGGAGAAAAGACCCCACAGGAAGATAGGGGCGGTAATGGGTCATTAGGAGAGGGGTAGATATTGTGAGATTTTCTTGGGTGGTCGAAAAGTAGTCTTGATACCTTCTTTGCGAAGAATTTTGCCAATCCTATCAGTGACACTTCGAATATACGGAAGAAAAGCCACAGGAGTATTACCCGAAGATTCTGAATTTGTCATCCTAGGGTGTAAAGGGGGATGTAGATGTCGGTGTGTAATATTTTGAATTGTGGACTTGGAGTAACCGTTGGCGACAAGGGTTTTTTGCAGATGGCCAAGTTCTTCTCTAAGGTTGTCAGGTTCAGAAATCGAAATGGCCCGATGGATGAGAGAGTTGATCACATTTGATTGATTATTTGATTATTTCTAAGAGCCCCTTCTTTTATTCCAGGAAAATCCGCGAATCTCTAGAGATTCGAAAAAATCCACATAATATCAATCGAGAGGAAGGATACTACTTGTCTCCCATCTGGAATCTCAGTCTAGAGCGGCCGTCCGGTCCCGCTACCACGATGCAGCTACATGATTGGCCAGCGCGCGCTTCTTGACGTTCGCGCCACGGAGTATGCCGATACGTCCCGAACTTTCACCAAAAACTAAAATTCACATTAGAAAATTGAAAAAAAAATTATCAAATTAATCTTTCTGGAATTCACTGACCTTACTTCAGAGAAAACAGCACTATAACTTACTTCACGGTACACCATACAGTCCTGGTCGTCTGAGGTTGATCTGAATTTTCACTCTTCATCATCCCTTGTCTTTACATAGAAATCCAGTAGTAGTTATCGGAATCGCCGATTAGAGCTATTAGTTTATCCGCTCCTGATCCAATAGGACCTCAGGCCATTCAAAAAAGCAAAAACAACACTAAAACTTAATTCATACCACACCACCTTATCGACAACACTTTTAAATCGCGGACATGCAATATAATATTTAACAATAACAATCTATCAACGAATGAAACCAACTCGGTAAAGAAAAAACTATATATCTCGCCCCTTATATACTTGGAGCTTTATCACAAAACAAAATTGCAAATTTCTTCCGTCTAAACATATATTACAGGTTGCTTCATAAAGGGCCACAATCTTTTGAAAAGGAATTTCACAAGATTAAAAACCAAAACCCTCTCTATTAAAAAGATCGGCATGTTGTTTATGAAAATTTTCCTGCTCCCAATTGTGGTTATAGTTTATATTGGACAATACCAGTCAGCTACTTAACTAAAGAATTACGTTCCCACAAAATATGGACAAAAAAACTCAACCGCCCTCATAAAACATGAAAACGAAAAAAAAAAAACATAAATTTGATTTTGAGAAAACCAAGATCAATCCTAATAAGTGAACACAACAGGAAGAAGAGAGAGCTTTCTAGGTGTCTACAGAAAATTAAAAAATAATAATAATAACGCAATATAAATGATAAAAAAGGTGTCACAAATTTGATCAAAAATATATTTTAACTGTAATTTAAATAACACATAATAAAGTCAATCTCAGTACGCCTGATGATGTTAAAATAAACTGGATAGTGTTTAACGATAAACTAACATTCAATAAACAACACTTCACTTAGATTTTAAATTACATTTTACATGTTGTGACTTAGTGGGTATGTGCCTATGGTTTTAATATTATTTTAATTGTGACGTCTGCTTGTTAGTACGACCGTATGGTACATGCGTGGTAAGGCAACAAGTTTTAACTTTTAAACCGTATTCTAGCTGTTCATGAAATGTTTTTTTTAGTTCAATATTACTTCTTTAAAAAGGCATGGATTTTTCTGCACGAAACGTCGAATAAAATTATATAATATGTCTTTGTATCAAAATTAAATTTTTTTTTATTTTTATATATACTTTATTATATTTTAGATATATATTATTTATATTTATATATATTTATATATATATATAATATAGTATATATATAGTAATATTTATATATATATCATTATATACGTATATTATTTCTGTTAGGAGGCCACATCATTAGAATTATCTTTGTTCAACCTCAATACTTATTTGACTTATCAATATATGCAATAGAACACTGGTACAAAGGTTTATTCACTTTATTTCATCACACATATGATTGACTTACTGATGATATGATGTTGTGTTATGTATTAACGTCTTATTTTTAGTATCTTACCGGGTGATATAGTTTAATTAGACTCACTCATTTTCGATTTTGTTTCCCACTTATTATCATATATATATATATATTGTATATATATTATATATATATTATTATTATATACTATATAGTATATATATTATATTTATATATATATATATACGTATATTATTTCTTCTGTTTGAGTCACTTACATTATTATTAAACTTTGTTTCAAACCTCATCTTATTTGAATTATTCAATATATATGCAATATAACACTGTTACAATGGTTTATTCCATTTATTTCAACAATATGTTTGTATTACTGATGATATGCTGTGTGTTATGTATTAACGTCTTTCTTATTTTTAGTAACTTTACCGGGTGTTATAATTAGGTCTCCTCCTTCTTACTATTTTGTTCCCACTATCGCATTGTTTCCCGTTTTTGTTCTATCTTATTCTCTGCATATTCTTCCTGATTTACTATCATATTCCACTCTATTGCTGTCTAAATATACGGGTGGTGCTCAAAATTCTTGTTCTTTTTCGTGTTTTCTTTCTCCATCTCACTCATTTAATCTTCTTGTAGTCTAGCCATTGGTGGGAATCTTGACTAAGATGCCTTCTACACAAGTGGTTCCAACAACCTTTTTTCCCATTTGTCGCCCGCCCTTAGACAGGTTTAACATGTTATTAATACTTACAATCGCCCCCCCCACTCCCACAATTAAAATTGAAACAAATTAATGTATCTATACAAAAAAGGTAATTATCTATATTTATTTATTTTTACATTTTGTAAAATGTTAATATGGTTATATTACGTTATGTATAA